GGTTTAAAAGACGTTCAAAACGGTGATACAAACTTTAGTGCAGTAGTCTCCAAACGGGGGTTTGCGGATCTATGGGGTAAACGCAACCCATCCTCGAACAACAAAAGAATAGAAACAAAAACATTGCAGCATATCCACACAGTGAATGATGACGAGTGGAGCGAAGCGTCCGTACGTCGATTCGTGCTTTATCCATCTGTTCATGCATCCGTCTCTTCATGCTTCCATGCGTCCGTGCGTTGTTCCGTGCGCCCGTCCATGCGTCCATCCATGCATCCGTTCGTGCGTCTGTTAGTTCGTCCGTGTGTTCGTCCGTCTGTCTGTCTCTCTGTTTGCCTGTTCGTCCATCCGTGCATGCGTCCACGCGTCCAATAACGTTCGGGAATGCAGACGGTGCACGGGAAACACCGACGAGACGCGAGCCAAAGAAGCCGAGCGCGAACGTCTTCCACGCGCCCGCTGCTCTACTTCCTCAATGCTCCACCAACGACCCCTCACGTACGGCGACTTTCCAGGAGATTGAGGGAGGCACTTCTTCCTCGCGCACACATGCAAAACTCACGCAGCAGCCAATTGGAGAGTAGTGGTACAGCGGCATCTAGAATATCCTCACTCAACTGCAGTTTGTATGCACTCCTATGAGACAGCATCGTCCATTATACTGTTTGAGAGATACTGCCTTCTTTATTTTCACGTCTCTTTTTTTTCGGTTACGCGATACGCAGGACAAGGTTAGACTAAGAGGGGCTTCACCCCTGAAACCACGTCTTTTAAAAACACAGAATGACCCGTTTTGATTTCGCTATACTTCACCGCATGACGCTTTAGCGTTTAGGTGGAGCTAACCTATGTTGCCCTCTTGTACGAGGATGGTTTTAAAGCTTTTGTTGCATTTGCCTACCACATATTCACGAGATCATATTCTTTTAAGGCTTGCATATTTGAAAAGAGTAGATTGCCAGAAGCACGTTGAATGTAGCTGCAGACCGCAAGCCGTATGGATTAGCTGTTGAGATTGATTTGGCGTGGAACTTTCTTTTGACCACTCTTCGCAAGGAGAACCAAAAAGTGCCTATTTTTCTCTGCATGAGGCATTAATTTATGACCCCCTCCATTTTCTCTCACTCTAAGGGATCCCTCGTTCTTTCCACCAGTTCAGAAGAGGGTCCGCAAAACGTCCGAGACTGAGAACCACCACTTGGGAGGTTGCTGTGCCGTACCATATTGGCTTCGTCATCGCGCGTGAGCGTTACGGGACATATGATCTTTTGGGATGGTGATCTGCTATTCCATACTAAAAAATAAGCGGGGGTGTTGTTTTTTGTATGTATCATTTTCTTTACGTGACTTTTGACATCACTAACCTGCTCCTAACTCTCATCTGCTCTACACCGGGGGACCAAAATCCAGCATGATGTTTTTGTTGAAGTTCAGCCCTGGCAGGTAGGTGAAGATAACCTTCGCGAAACTGTCATTTATTTAGGGGGACAAAAATGAGTTATTGGCAGTCATCTCGCTAACTACGATTGAATTATCAACAACATTTTAATTACTGCGGTGGGAAGAGTAAGTATGTATTGGAAGATTCGAAGCAGTCGCGTTTCTACACGGTTCCACCTACAACAATTCTTTTGGCACGTCCATGCTGTGAGATATTTCACCTAAATATTTAATTCTGGCTCGCGAGATTATTCGTGTAAGATGGTGAATATCTGCGCATGCTCCTCCCAGATGTGATTAGCAGTCGGTTTTTGCTATCATCGGCAAGTAGCAAACAGTAACCGTTAGGAATTTTCACCCATGCTTTCGACCCGGCACATTAAGGAGATACTTTGCACGTGCGCTCTCTTACTTGCATGCATCATTGTCCGAACAAACATAAATTCCTCGACCGTTCTTTTTCTGTAGAAGTCCTCAGCGAGAATTCCATCCGTGTGAACCTTCGTAGAAATACATTTGTTGTTAGCTTGATTCTACCAACCTTCATTTTAACATTGTATAAAACATAGTTACTCAATATTTAGCGGAATAGTGCCTTTGTGTCATGGAAAAAAGTCTTGTTTGTATGAACTATGCGCCTACTTCTAATGAAGCGTTTTCTTTGTAAAATTGCAGTTTACAAATGCCCCTCCGTACGTGTAGATCGCAAAAAGGCAGCAACGTGGGCAGTAATGCTTTATTTCACATTGCGTTTACCACTAGGAATAACTTTTTAAAATATTATTTGTATCCCGAAATATAACAGACTGGAATAATCTTATTACCAATGTAGTTTCTCAAAAGTTTTTAGCGATGTTTGAAAAACATCTGAAGATGTTATGAATTTCTTTGTGTTTTTTCATTCATTCGTTACCAGTATTTTTTTCCTTTTGAATTTTTACAAATGTCTGAAGAAAGCCTACAATTTATGTGTCCTAAATTGTTTGTATTTTTATGTATATTACCCTACTATAATCTGGGAACAGATCGCAGTATCTATAAATAAATTAAATGAATAGAAAATTTTAAAATCAACCGGGCTTGGCGTTCGCTTCTGGGCAGTAGCGTAGGCAAAGGGCAGCACACCGTACCTGGGCCACACCCCCCCCCCCCCCCCCCCCCCCCCGTAATTTTTTTTCACCATTGCATACAGAACGATAAATAGCAATTGTAAAACGGTGACCCTCCACCTACGAAATCAAGGAGAAAAATTGGCCTGGTATCTGCATGTTAAACTGCAAATGTTGTCGAAAGACGATAGTCTTGCATTTGGAGAAATTGAACAAAACGTTTATTTGATGTTCTGCGCAAGAAAACCGGTGAATGGTATTCTGGAGGCGCTGCGTTAGAATGCCTCGAGCTTGCAGCGGAGGCGAACGAGCACATAAAGTCACGTTACACGTGAGACGTGAGCGCTATCTGGCAGTTATCTTCGAAAACAAAACACGTTGCTCTGAGATGGGCGTGCGCACCCGTCTCAGAGGTGATAAGGTGTAGACCGCAAGGCGACGGGTAGGTGTCACCACCGTGTCGTCTTAGCAAAGCGTTGGAAACACTTCCCTTTTCGTGCAAGCGTTGCATGATCAGCGCCGCGTGATAAACGCTCCGCTCCTTAGAATAACTTAGAATAACTTAGAAAACGCTCCGCTCCTTAGAATAACTTCTAAGGAGCTACGCTCCTTAGAATAACTTATGTATGCCTTTTCTAGTTAAAGACACACATACAGAATATATACGTGGTGTTTTGGGGCCTCAGATATGCGCGACAATTGCTTTTTAATTGACAATCGCAGAAGTACAAACGCTAAATTTTGAGCAACATTGGTGGGCGCTGCGGATGGGGTTGGCCATTAGGGGTATGCGCTGGTGCCTCTTAAAGCGTCCGGTACCATTAATGGTGGACAAACAGACAAATGAACAGACAAATGAACAAACAGACAGAAAGACAGACAGACAGAAATTTTTGCATCGAAGGTCCCCAAGAAAGACTATCGTCTTTAAAAGAATTCTCCCACCACCCCGAAGGGAATAGTGAGGAAATGCGAATGCATTGTGTAGTGTCTATATCGGCGTTTGGCACGTGAGAACCCAGCATTAGAAGAATGTGTTTTTTTTTCTTCTTACACCGGGCAGCCAATACTGCCGTTCGCCGCACGTGTCGTTTTTTCTGTCCCGAGAAACGCGGTATGCGTTTCCAGCCGTCGTAGCTAGCGTGCACGGTTAAAAATATTACGAAGTTAACAAAAGAAACAGCGTTCTCCGCTCGTCATTGGCATTTGACAGCGGCGTCTCGAGCACACATTTCCGGATGTTTTTGAGAGGCGCCCATCGAGCGAACGATCGAGAGTGAGGTGCGAGCGGGAGAGAAAGTGGGGCGCAGAGAGGAGAGAGAGTGAACGGCGAGAGAAGGAGCGGCGATGCACTGCACTTGTCGTTCTACCTGACGGCCGTAATGTCAGCGTCTTATCAACACGAACGCTACACAAACGCTGGCAGCCCAAACGCTACAAACGCGTTGCAAACGCACTGCATTGAGGCGGTGGCAAGTCACGTTCAAGTCAAGGAAGTGGGGCTTCAGTTGCTAGGGGCAAGGATAAGCGCGCCTGCTCGCATCTGTTGTTGACAGCTGCCGACGCCGAAGCGTGACATGGTTCTCCGGTTGTCAGGGGCGCGCGCACCCGCAGCTACTAGAGAGGGCCGTGGACGGATCCCGACGAACGCCCGACATAGCCCGACTTAGAATTGCATTCGCGTTTCATATTTCCGCGTACCACCCTTGTTTTGCATGCGTGCAATAGACAGGCGCACATGTTTCATTTTAGTTGCACTTTTCGTCCCATTCTTTCTCTGTTTTCCTTTTTTGATCTTTTCACTCTATACAATAAGGCAGCAAACCGGACCTGCATTGATCTCTCTTCCTAACTCCTTAGGAACCGACATAGGAGTGTCAAACAAAAAGCAGAGATGTTAGTTGTAAAGTAGTCATGCACTGGAGAAAAGGAGTGGACGCTTGAAAAAACACAGCATATATGTGGGCAGTAAGTACACAGATACGCGCAAAAATTTGCAGCACTGGTGGTGAAAAAAAGTGAAGGGCCGACACAACTAAAATTTCCTCTTAGAATTCAAACGGTGATGATTCGACACTGGCTAAGAGGTCATAAATAGACGTAAGTTTTAATACGATTATTTGAGAAGCAGCAGATTAGCCAGGCAACAATAGGCAACAATAGCTGCACCACATGACATTCTTCGCTACTCAGCGAGGCTTGCACCAGCTTTTGCGACAAGCTTTTTTTGTCTGTAATATTCGAAAGTTCTACCCTAACCTTTGGAGGCCCGTTTCAAATTGAAGCACAACATTTGTCGTTATTTTAATATTCCAGAATATATCCCACGATGAATGTCATTTTCAAGTTTTCTCTTTTTACTTGCTCGTCAAACGGAAAACAAAAGTTTAACAAACTGTGGACGAGAAAGTTCTTATAATTACTGTAATGATGACACCTTAATAAACGAACTTAGGGAAAACAGGAACATTTATTCAAACAAGAGTATTCACAGTCAGAAAAGGCCCTTCGTGCGACCACTGATGCTGTACCACCCTCTCGTGATGAGTTATCTTTCATGATATGCCCGAATTTCATGTCGAAGCAAGTTTCCTTTTTTTTAATGATGGAAGTCTGTGTACAGGCAGTGTTGGTGAAGAATCCAGCTCCTCTCTGTCCGTCGCAGACCCAGTAGGAGCAGGATGGGGCAAGATTCTGTCGTAAGAAAAATAATAACAGAAGCATCACTCAGTCACCAACACACGCCCACACATCGCACAAACAAAATTGTATCAACATACCTTATCATTCGATGATCGTTTGGATGACTATCATACGCTGTGAATATAATACCAAAAACTGCCAAGGAACTTCATTCGCCTTTTGTTCTGTAAAGTATCTAGTTACTAAACACTTCCTCGGCTCACTTACCTGCCTTACAGCCTTCATTCGTTTATCTCCGTATTGAATACATGGAGCTATTCATCATTGTTCAGACTATCACATATATATGTTCATTTTATTAACAGCCATGCTTCATACTTGCTACACGCTTTGTCGATTTTGGTTATGACTCAGCGACATATGACGCGCAATGCTTCCGGGCACATCACTGACTACAACATTACTGCAGCCTAGTAAATGCATTTGACACACAGTGGTATGTTACAGTTGACAAATTAACGGTGTTTTGCTTCTGCGTTCATGATTGCAAATTCTCAACCAGCCACGATGGCATGTGAAGGAACCAAGATAATTTCAATTAGTCTAGAGCCTCTCAATGCGTCTTTCCTCATATAGTTAAATCGGCCTTTCGGTACCTAAAATACACAGCTTACCGTTTCTTTTTTTTTTTTCTGAACGTATACTTTGATTCCTTCAAGGAGAGGCAACAATTGGCGGCGTTTTCTTGCACTGGCCTAACAGTGATGGTAAGAACACAACAGCGTCTCAGTGAATTTAGTTGTAGGTTGGCGTTTCCGTATTTTACTACCGTGCACGCACAGCAACGACAGATGGTTATAATACCCAAGCGCACTGCACGATGCATTTAAACGTGACATTCAGCATTCATTGTTTCTGCACACTTGGATATGTTCTCATAGGATTTTTGTCCTCGTACACGCACTGAATCGCAGTGTTGTTGCTTTAGAGTAGTAGACTTCCAAATGCGACGCATGCGGGCAAAACGCCCGCAATAACGAAGTAGTAAGCTGATTGCGACAGTGTAGAATGTATTATTGAGTCCCTTACCTACGAAGATCGCAACTTTTCGCAACCACTTAAGAAGTCCGTGGGTGATTAAAGCATTTTGCGACACCTTTAGCAGACCTATAAGTTCTTAAACCTGTATCTGCCAAGCACACAAAAAAAAGTTACAGCCAGCTAACCGTGAATGTGGAGAGTCTCAACCGACGACGCCTCCGACTCCGACGCCTCCGACTTGGGCACCACCATACTGTCCACTGGCGGCTCCTCCGGCGTGTGCAGCCTTTTCGAAGCCAGCTCCGCCAGCCTGATGTCCCGCACCATACGCGCTGCCTTGGCTGGCCTGAAGCCCGTAAGTGGACGTCTGGCCGTAAGTAGAAGTGTGGCCGTACACGCGTTTCGCGGCTTCGCCACCACCGTAGCCGTAGCCACCCTGACCATAGCCGCGGCCGGCACCGTAGTATCCACCTCCATAACCACCGTAGCCAGCTCCACCGTAGCCGAGGCCACCATAGCCCAGACCTCCGTAGCCAAGTCCTCCATAGCCAAGACCACCGTAACGAAGCCCGGCGTAGCCGAGACCCCCATAGCCGAGGCTGCCGTATCCAAGACCACCATAGCCGGGGTGGCCGTATCCAAGACCACCATGGCCGCCACCATAGCCAAGACCTCCATAACCAAGGCCACTGTAACCAAGACCTCCACCGTAACCAAGACCACTGTAGCCCGGACCGCTTTCGTAGCCGAGGCCTCCATAGCCAAGGCCGTAGCCAAGACCGTAGCCAAGACCGCTATATCCAATTCCTACGCCCGGTCCGTAACCACCAAATCCGCCTCCGAAAATGCCACCACGGCTCTCCACTTTCTCCTTGCCTTCTTTCTTGTCCTTGTCATCGGCAGCTGGCTCAGTGGCTGGCTCCGCAGTGCTGGTCACAGCTGGAGCATCGGTGGATGTGGCCTCCGACTCGTCGGCACTCGACACCAGAGCCAGGGTGGCTAACATGACCGCGAGGACCAGCTGAAAACAGTGAATTTTAATGACACACACACTTGACCTGTTGTTTTGCGTGCGATGCTGCAAGCAGAACTTCTGGGTGCTTTAACCACAAGTTGCAGGTTAGCCAGTTTTAGATATATTTTCTGAACTATAGAAGGGTCTTTTCAACGCTCTGAATAACAGACCTTATTAAAGCTTTTCGTATGATATAGACAAACTGTACACACAATCCCGGGAGATGATTGCACTTACCGTGCTTTGAATCTGAAAAATCTTTGCACATTTTCCTTCTCTATGCGTCTGCATTTGACGGTTATTCGCTTCCTAAACACAGATAAAACATTTATTTAGAACTAAAGAATTTTGTTTCAAAGAACTCACTCAGTCCCTTATGCATTCGCTTAAGTCAACTGGTAGGTGAAAGTCACCCGGTGGAGATATCGTGCGAACGCAGTTTCTTTAATATTTAACCACGATAATGGTGCATAGACACAGTTAACACACAGTTCGCGCACCTCCGGCCACAAAGTATGTGGGTGGTGTGTGACTTTTGTATACACAAATTATTCGGTGAGGGACACTTCTCATGAGTCGTCTGAGGCGTTCGTCTTCATAATGTTGTTGTTACATTCAATAGGGATGCGAAGTAATACCAGTTGCATAAAACAAGGTGAAAAATCAAGAATTTAACATTTGCATAACATCCGCACACTACATTAGACAAAAAGTTAAAAGATTAGGCACAAATGCTAAATGAGAGGGATTACCACAATATTGACAAAATCACAACGTTAGTGGGCTTTCATATATCAAAAGAACTTGATGAAAGGTAGGGAGCATAAAATACTCCCATTGCGCTGGCGCGTGCAACATGATGTACAAGACTGATATCTGAAAACTCATCGTCCATCCTAACCATGCATTACAACTTACTAGAACTGATGCTGGTACAAATGCAGTATGTTCTTGCATATGTCAGCAATGCCGGCGAAATAATGCTAGGATATAAGAAACGCCACAGAGCAAGGTATATCTAGATCAAATATTACAGTTCCTTATTCTACCTCTAATTTTTATGTATTTACTTGAAATACCTTCAATGTACATGGAGTGTCTTAAAAGGAGAGAGGCGTTGTAGAGGGAATTCTGCGTTCCATGAACTTCCTGGTTTTTAAGTATTGATATGTCTGCCCTGAACGACACCTTATTCATAAATTTTTCTAAATTTTGATCGACTGGCCTTGCATGTATCATTTAAATGATGTTAACCTCGAATAGCAACCTCAATGAATGACCGTCTTAAATAATAATTATCATTTTGTTTAAAAAAACGTAACGATACTTGAGCGCTTGTGAGAATTAAAATAATCAAAAATGCTTTACCTTTTTGTGTGTTGTATTTGATACAATGAACTGACTAACTGCAATTTATGTTTCCTCAATCAATACTGAAGGTGCAGACCTGTAGAGATTAATAGCTGTCGGTAAAATTGGCTTTCCCGAAATACATGTTTCAGTACAGAGACGTGTCTACTTCAGAGCGAATACAATGCCCTTTCCCGAAATCATCATTCTTAAAGCACCCTTTGTTTTACATCTATTAAACACCCTGCGTTAACTCAGCTCAAAGAAAGCCTCAAAGTTTCAAAGATACAGCCTTATATACCTCACCCAACGCGAAAACGGTCCGTGGGTGAACCCCGGCGACGGCGTCCACGTGGGTGATGCGAAACAATCATTACGTGATTACGTCACCATATGAGGTCATGATGACGTACAAAATTTGTGACGTTGCCATGTCGGAACGGAACATGTCGTCAATTTATGACTCCATCGCGTCACATCGTTGCAAAGTCGCAGGCCGACTGATCACGAAGGAAGTGAAAAACTGGGGAAGGCCCCACTGTGGTGGTGTAGTGGCTAAGGTATATACTCGGCTGCGGACCCGCAGGTCACGGGATGGAATCCCGGCTGTGGCTGCTGCATTTTCGATGAAGGCGAAAAGGCTGTAGGCTCATGTTCTCAGATTTGAGTGCACGTTAAAGAGCCCCAGGTGATTGAAATTTCCGCAGCCCTCCCCTATGGCGTCTCTCAAAATCATAAGGTGGTTTTGGGACGTTGAACCCCACATATCAGTCAACGGGTGAAGATGCGCAGATTAATACGGGCTTGAATTTTACGCCTCCAAATCATGGTACGAATACGAGAGACTCCGTTGTGAAGGGCTGCAGAAGTTTTCTTGCGGTGTTCTTTATTATGCACTGATATCACACAGTGCACTGGTCTCTGGCATTTAGCCGCCATGGAAATGTGACCACCCCGGCCGGGATCGAACCCTTGACCTTCGGAGCAGCAGTCGAGTGCCATAAGCGTTGCTTCCACACGGCATGCGGTAAGCTTTGTAAAGAATGCAATGTGCCTCCTATCCCGAAGGCAGTTCAGAGTCACTTTAGGAACAGAAAGCTTTCGATGGGCAGCAGAGAATAATGAATGCATCTTCTAAGAAGAAAAAATAAGATAAATAATGAATGCATCTTCTAAGAAGAAAAAATAAGATGGTGACTTTCGCCTTCGAGCCGCCGCAGACAAATGCAGAAGAAGCTTGCAAGTTTTTTTTTTCTTTGAACAGAAATTTCGACCATCAAATAAGCAGTCTCTTGGGGCCACTTGCTGCGTTTAGGCTTAACATCAAAAGGTAACCATAGCGAAGGAATACAAGAGGAGAATCCGAATGTCTGTAACGATATGCACAATGTCGGTGGTTGTTACGTGAACCAGAATGCTGTTGTGTGTGAACCCAAATAATCAAATGAGATCCTTTTCTGTACATTATAACACAGTCTCTCGGGCGTACACGCCCCAAGCCTCTAAATATCACATTTTAAAATGTGTATGCTTTAGGTAGGAATAGAGGATAGTGGTATATGTGCCGTAGCCACCGTAGTAGTTTCCAGCTTTCAATGTAGCGACGCCCTCGCCTCTGACCAGAAAAAAAAAAGAAAAAGAGCGCTGTACGATCATTATTACGTCAGAACGCAGAAATGATTACCGCATTTTCCGTCAAGTAGACGCCAATAATCATTTGTGTAGTGTCCGATTCTGTGTTGCCTAACATTAACGTCGTTGAATGACCTTCGTCAATGTTGCGTTTTCAAAAGTAAGTGGGTGTGGTTTCATCCGAGCTCGTGTAACGGTGTTTTGGGTCATCAAATGAATCATCTTGACGCAACAAACCGGACACCTCTCACAAAACGACTGCTTTATGGGGAGATTTCCACTAACATTTCATCCAAGGCCGCTGACAATGGGCGAAAGCTCGTTTACCGTCAGACGCTGTAGCGCTTTTAAATGACCTTATCCTCGGCCATTGGCAAATCGTGTTTCCGTGCCATAGGAAAAACTAGAAATAGTAGTCGCCACACTTACGCGAGATAACTTTTTAGCAATGAAAAAAAATATTCAGGGGAATCGTGGTTTATAGAAAGCTCCATCTATTCGCAGCGTGCAGCCATTTCACAAAAGAGAAAAGCGTAAAACTATTATAGTTTCCATTATCTGTTCGCGCTCCTTTAAAACAGGCGGACATTGGATGTGATGTCTTGTATATATTTCGGTGTGGGAAAAAGGAACTTATAGCTGACTTTGGACGCCACCGTAGCGCTTGGTTGTTGGCTAGAGGTAAAAACAGCTATTGTTAAATCTTATTCGCCCATGAAAAAGTTCTAGAGGAGCTGGAATAACAGTAGTCAGATGTAGCGCAAGCCATCTTAGCTAAAGTGCACTCGTCCTATATACAGGAAATATTTCCAAGTGTACATTCAAACGGGCAGCATTAGCCTCATACAATCAAGTAGTTAATTCTTCTCCAGCGTCATCTCTCAGTAACATCTTGAAATTTTAAGGGACAGTTTCTGGGTGTACTGACTCTTTTGATAATTTTGCATTATGCTATCGAATAGGTGGGCACTGCTGTAATGATCAAGCTATAATTGGCCAGCTGACAATACAAAACGTAGGTTTTGGCGCGAACTAACCGATTCACTCTGCTGAAATGCATTACTTGTTCTTTAGCACTTGTCCATTTCTCGTGCTTATTTCGCGCCATAAGTTACGTTAAGGATGAACCAGCTCGCCCAACAAGTCACTCTGCTGAAATACATTACTAGTCCTTTAACGCTCGTCCGTCTCTCATGTTTATTTCGCGCCAAACGCTACGTTAAGGATGAACCGACTCGCCGAACAAGTCACTCTGCTGAAATACATTACTAGTTCTTTAGCGCTGGCCGTCTCTCGTGTTTATTTCGCGCCAAATGCTATGTTAAGAATGAACCAACTCGCCGAGCAAGTTTCTCTGCTGAAATACATTACTAGTTCTTTAGCGCTTGTCCGTCTCTCGTGTTTATTTCGCGCCAAAAGCTACTTTAGAATGAACCAACTCGCCCAATAAGTCACTCTGCTGAAATACATTACCAGTTCTTCAGCGCTTGTCCGTCTCTCGTGTTTATTTCGCGCCAAATGCTACGTTAAGAATGAACCAACTCGCCGAACAAGTCACTCTGCTGAAATACATTACTAGTTCTTTGGCGCTTGTCCGTCTCTCGTGTTTATTTCGCGCCAAAAGCTACTTTAGGAATGAACCAACTCGCCCAACAAGTCACTCTGCTGAAATACATTACTAGTTCTTTAGCGCTTGTCCGTCTCTCGTGTTTATTTCGCGCCAATAGCTACTTTAAGAATGAATCAACACGACGAACAAGTCACTCTGCTGAAATACATTACTAGTTCTTTAGCGCTTGTCCGTCGCTAGTGTTTATTTCGCGCCAAAAGCTACTTTAAGAATGAACCAACTCACCCAACAAGTCCCTCTGCTGAAATACATTACTAGTTCTTTAGCGCTTGTCCGTCTCTCGTGTTTATTTCGCGCCAAAAGCTACGTTAAGAGTGAGCCAAATCGCCCCACAAGTCACTGTGCTGACAATACAAGTTTTGGTGGAGGTTTCAAGAATGATGCCTGCTTACCAAGGATATTTCTACCAATTTTAATATTTTTCTAAGCGTCACACGAACAAAAGCCTTGGTTCACAAGTGTGAGCACGTAATAATATATTTAAACACTCAGAAAGTAAGCATGGTAGGGCCAGAGAACATTGTGTATATAGGTTGTTGGTTATATCCGTATGTGTGCGCAAGTGAATGGAGGGGGTGCAGCCACTCTCCTAGTTACCTAAGAGGGGGGCGTGAAAAATCCGCCCCGTGAATCGACTTGGTAGAAAGGAGGGTATGGCAATGAACCTTTGCCCTCCCCCCTCTGCGCATGCCTATATTTATATTAAACGTTCATTAACAAGCACAACCTATTCTGTTCGGCTGTCAGTGTAAAGTAACCTTCTTTCATCTTACTATAGAAATAAATGATCGACTATCTATAATAAACTTGCAATTGATTCCTCACGCATTTTAGAGGCTCAGTGCCTAAGTAACGTATGAAACTTTCAAGTGATGAGTTTGAACTATCCTGTGGTCTAATTTTGTAGCCAAGGTATGCTGACCGTTTATTAAATTTTGCAAGCTTATAGTGTAACTAAATTTTTCCTACAATACGTTTAACATTTAATTTTAAAGAACAAGCATTCAAGTGTTTTTATTATCTGCGCTGTATATGTACAGTTTCGTATTCAATCATCTTGAGCTGCGTTATTTTTTCTTGGCTACGGCATGCTCTAGTGAGTTTTTTTAAAAGTGAGAAGTGCAATGATAGCTGGGCATAATATTTTGTGCAGATATCGTGAGATACACTCTGTACAAAGGTTGAGAGGTGCCATCGAAATACCGGGTGTTCAAAATTAAGCTTTATGATTTTTTTAAAATTAGGCGCTCGAAGGCACGTGAGAACCACTTGTGCAAATAAGTTAAGCGGCCAGGGGGACAGAAAGTTAGATGATAATTATCGCTGTCAGCAGCCCAATTAACTAAAATTTAATAATTAACTTTTTACTGGCTGCGGTAAGTTGGCATGTTTATATTGAAAAAATGTAGGCAGTGGTGTTTGTACACAGTTTCAGTTGGAAGATTTTTTCTAGCACGCCTGTGTTCCGAGATATCCGGCTCCAAAGTTTAATTGTCTTTCGCACGATTACGCATGCAAGAGGGTGAGGGTCCGCGCAAAGCTCCTCCCTAAAGTGACGCATCTGTTGCGTGTGGTGTTTAGTGTGTGAAGAGGGTGGAAGCGTAGGCATAGGTGATAGCAATTACCCTTGCCCTCTTCGGCCGTCGAAATCAAAAATCGAAGAACGCTTGCAACCAGTGTCGTAACACGCAACTGCAGAGCCTCTAACGATAGTGGCAGATACCATGCCGAGATAATGGTGCGAGCGGAGAATCTGGATGCCAGTGCGCGTGCGTAATAATCACTAGAGAAGCATGCGTGGTCGTTGCCTGGGCTACGCGAATAGCGTGACTGCTGATGTCCGAGTACTGTAACTTTTATTGAAACAAGAGCAACAACTCCACCAATAATAACTGAAACAGTTTTATCCTTGCTAACGCATATTTCCTGCTGCTACATAAGCATATTTCGGTCATGCACAAATCTCATCGAAACTCTTCACCTCTCAAGACGTCAATGCCCCAAAAAGTGTTCAAAATGCCTGCCTTCGGCAGCAACGCAAAGCATGAACCGCTGTCGCGTCGACTCGATGACTCGGCGCAGTACTTCTGCAGGAATACTCGCACAGGCAGATGTTATCCTGTCCTTCATGTCATTAACATCGCTGGGCTCTGTTACGTAAACTCGATCTTTAACGTAGCCCCAAAGGAAAAAGTCGAGCGGAGAAAGGTCAGGTGATCTTGGTGGCCAAAACATCGCTCCTGCGCGCCCAATCCACTGTTGTGGAAAACGTCTGTCCAACCAGTTCTTCGCCCTGGTAGAAAAATGTGGTGGTGCTCCATCGTGCTGAAACCATACTTGGCGCAGGTCATTCAGGGAAAGACTGCAGACAAGATCATCAATGACAACACCTAATATTTCTTCTGTGTACATCTTTCCGTTCAAGTTGTCCTCAAAAAAGTGAGGTCCGATGATCCTGTCCCCGAGTATGCCGCACCACACATTCACACTCCAGCGAACTTGATGCTTGTGCTGCCTCAGCCAGTGTGGGTTTTCTTGTGCCCAATAATGGGCGTTGTGAAGATTAACACTTCCATTTCGGCAAAACCGAGCTTCATCAGTCCAAATTATTCTGTGCAAAAAGTCATTTTCTTGATCAGTTTTGATGAGGCCCCAATTGCAGAAGTCAACTCGCCTTTCAAAGTCCGCCTCATTTAGGTCCTGATGAAGGTAAACGTGATATGGATGGAACTTGTGCTTTCTTAAAACATTTGTGACTGTTCCGATGCTGCGACCGCACTGATCGGCAATCTGTCGGATGCTGAGCTCTGGCATCGAGGTTACGCACGCGACAACGTCGATTTCAAAGTCTTCATCGACGATTGCCTTCCTGGTCCGTCTCGGAAGGTGGACAGAGCCTGTTGTGCAGAAGCGTCGAAACAGGTTTGTGAAAGTGGGCCTTGTTGGAAGGGGACGGTGTGGGTGGCGAGACGCGTAAAGCTCCATTGCTAACGAAGCGTTGCCATTCATTTCAGCCATTGCAAGCACCACGTCTACTTTTACTTTGGTAGAATACCTCACGCCAGAAGCAGCCATATTAGCTCGAAAGGACTCCACGTGGATTTCCTTGGTAGACCTTCAATGCAGAGACGCTGTGCTCTAACCGGAGGCACCCTAGTGCAGGACGGTCCTGCTAACGCGTTCACAAGAAGATGTCTCAGTGTGATCTAAAGTCACGAAAAAACGTCGCGAAAAATGGTCTCCTGTTATCGCGTTCATCAGGATCATGCGTAAGGCTCATGGCGCACCGCGCTGTCACATTTTGATTTCGCCGGCCGAAGAGGGCAAGGGTAATTGCTATCACCTATGCCTACGCTTCCACCCTCTTCACACACTAAACACCACACGCAACAGATGCGTCACTTTAGGGAGGAGCTTTGCGCGGACCCTCACCCTCTTGCATGCGTAATCGTGCGAAAGACAATTAAACTTTGGAGCCGGATATCTCGGAACACAGGCGTGCTAGAAAAAATCTTCCAACTGAAACTGTGTACAAACACCACTGCCTACATTTTTTCAATATAAACATGCCAACTTACCGCAGCCAGTAAAAAGTTAATTATTAAATTTTAGTTAATTGGGCTGCTGACAGCGATAATTATCATCTAACTTTCTGTCCCCCTGGCCGCTTAACTTATTTGCACAAGTGGTTCTCACGTGCCTTCGAGCGCCTAATTTTAAAAAAATCATAAAGCTTAATTTTGAACACCCGGTATAAAAGCTTTGCTTTTTACACTGCGGTCGTATATCAGGATGAAATGGCCAAATTACCCCTAAGGAAAAAGATCCCGTATAATCTCGTGCCGTCCACAATTCACTGTGGTGCTACAAAGAAAGACATATTGCTTAGAACTTTGCAAAAACACTCTCAATGTCTCCTAGCAGGACAATCACTCTTGAGTTATCCTGATGTGATATTTTGTGCATCCCGGCAACGATGGTGAGCGTAAAGGTTTGTCTTTGAATATTTCTGTCTTCACCAAAGAGATTGTTTTTTACCAAGAACAAGAACACCGTGTAATGCCTCGACACACGCCTACGAGCGCTATCTACACCGCAATTCAAATAAGGTTGTCCCCTTGTGATGTAATCACTCATTTCAGCAAGGGTGTACCACTCAGCCAAAAAAGCTTGTATGTTATCTCAGCGTACCCATAAATATGGAGCCGAATGACTGCTCAGTTGTTACTCAACTGTGTGCAGCATTTAAAATTTCAATATTCAAGACATGTCTGCATTATTGCACGACTTATACGGCATTCCTAAAAGTCCAATGAAACTAAAATTTCTGCGTAATCATTTTACCTGCTCACAACGAACTTAAGGGTTTGCACAAAGAAGGTTACCATGGGTAGGCCTAACTTTAGTCACTGCAGCTTCTACACTCGGGTCAGGCACGTTTATTGTGATCAACTGACGTAATATTCGCTTGGGCAGCTGAAATGAGCCTCGCAAACTGCAACGTGGAGGGTAGGCCAGCATAAGAAAAAAAAAAGTAGAGGAACCAGGTGCGCGAACATGGTACTTGTTCGTAGCAGCGGGTTTCTTTACTTTCCGCTGGCAACATGCGTCCAAAAGTTTTCCAACCTCTACGTCCGAAAGTTTTCCAACCAAAAGTTTTCCAAAAGTTTGCCCAAAGTTTTGCAACCAAACTTTCACTTAGCGGAGGGGATATCTGCTTAGCGCTTACCGCTGCCTTCATCGTGTCGACGGTCTGTGAGATCACACGAAGAAAGTCGGGTGGACTAAGGGTACCGCCTTGTGGGGGTAGAGCGAAAACCTTTCTCTTCGCGCCACTTGGCGATGGTGTCCCCTCAGAGGTAACCTCTCGGCTTTTATATACAGCCCACGCCACCTCATCGCGCAGGCACACATGAACTTGTACGCACGCACATACACGCGCCGCACACACATACAAGGCGTCTTTCACCCGTTCCTTAACTTTTTCATTCAAGGCTGCAGCCGGCGGTTGTGGTGGTGGTGCCACCGCCTCGCCTTTTCTCGCGTTCTCTCCTACTCCGCTCGAGTCCTCCTCGCGCCGATAGTATTGGCACGGCCAGCGCGCCATTGCACCGTGGTCTCGGCACCGTTAATATTACTCGGAAGAGAGGGGGAGCAGTCGGGGATTGTCCCGCGGCCACTCGTTCTCGAATGACGCGCTCAGGTTTCGCCGGCGCTGCCGAGCAGCGGCGTGTCACGAGAATTCGGCTCTGTTGTGCTCTCGAGAAAGCCGGATACGAATAATGACAATAGCGCGAGAAACCCCCAGAAGCCAGGGGTACGGGTTCGGCGTCGGCATGCGCAACGACTCTCGTAAGACGTTGCACTTGCGTAATTGACATTTAGTAAGCCTCAAGACGCAAACTTTCAATGTGGGCAGAGTTTTACACTTTGAGTGAGTCAGCCTAGTTTGGCGTACCGATTACTTTACTGAAGAAAATTCTACTCCAGCCATTCCAGGAGAAAGAAGGTACATGGTCATCTTCCTTATTACATTTACACGTTCCTACATGATTAAACACGATAACAGCTACTCCTGTGAGCCAATAGACACATCAGGTTTTAGTAGTATCACTATGATATCAGTCACATGGACCCTCCAGGCGAATTTTCGCCATCGCCATCATGTTCCGCATAATGTAGAAATTGATATCACTGCCCCACGCATGACAGGTTGTACGGGCAAGTGAAAGCTTGTGATTGCTGTCGACTAACGCAAACGAGCTAGCCGTTTTTGTAGTGCAAACAGCGCGTGAAGACAAGAGGTGAAGAGAAGGAAGAAGGGAATTGGGAAGAAGGTGGAGTAGGGGGTTGCATGACTGCATGCTTTTCTGACAGTAAGTGCATGCTAAGACCGGGCGTGGCTGCTCGCGGTTGCCCGCGTATTCTTACCGGGGAACAGCATACGGTTCATAGTTTATTTACTTATTGTGTTCTCATAGCAAAGTTAGCATTGAAGCCATAGTCAGACGAAGAGCATTTCACTAGCGGCAGTGGCTATATTTCCTCAGGCAGTGAGCTGCCAGTCTTGCTTCGATAAAGTTCCGACTGGTTACTATCACAATAATTATTTCGCCTTTGTGGTAAAACAGTGACTATCTTTTTTTCTCTCACTAAGGTTAAGACGCACCATTACGTTAAAATATTTTGAATACTTTTGTTCAGTGTGCTTTCATTTTCTCTCACTTCATGTTCTGCTGTTTTAAGCAACTTGTGAAGCGTGCAAATTACTGCTTAGTCAGAATAATTTTTCGTATCGGAGAAATGTGCTGTCTTTACCCATACCTTCTGTTATCGCGCAATCATCCTGCCCTTGTGCCCTTTCACCCTCAATGTCGCAGCAAAGAGTGGGCGTGTATACTCAAAGTTTCCTCATAGGTTGAGGCTTCGAAAATATAATCTATCAGAAAATATAGTCTATAATTATTCGTGTTAAAATCGCTGACTTCAGAGCCCTGGTTATGGTGATGCTTTGCAGCTACATGTGGGTTCTACCTACGGATCGACGTCAGGAGTATCTCCTCTCGGAGTCTCATCGATTTTTTTCGTGATTTATGTTACACACGTAAACATAGCTAGATTTTCTTAGACATAACAGGATACAAGAAGACGTGAAGCTTCCTCTTGTTCTCGTATTAACGCAGCTGCTCCTTAAAACACGACCTCCCTAATGAAAGAAATGTTATTGATTGGTTCTGAAAGGAAAGAAAAAAAAATAACGTCCGGTATCTTGGGAATGACAACTTAATTCATGCAGCTGCAGTGCCTTTTTTTTCGTTCCATGTAATTTGCAGTTGAAAATGTCGGTGTGCATTGTTGTAAATAGAAATGCTAGTGTATTCGTATGGTATGCTTTTATCCGATACACAGTGTACACACACCGATGAAACCGTTTGGTCATGCAAAAAGTGTTCGTTGAAGTTTAAATAATCTGAATTTGATCCAACTTGCCTGTTTTCGTCGTTTATTGACTATTTGAGACGTTCGCGTTATAGGAGTTTGAACGCGTTGTTTCGGCAATAACAGTACTACTGTGAAAGGGGATTTCAATGCAGCAGAAGTTCATTGCAGTCAAGGTCACTGAGGAAGGCTTTATTGGAAGCACCTCATTCATTTGTTTTTCACCTTCAAGTTTTTTTTTTCTCTTTGCTATAATACCTCAAATATTGTTAGAATACTGACTCATCCAACTATATACCTTTTAATAACACCTGTTGATTACGAACAAACTTAGTTTCCGCAGCGTGCCTTATGGCCGCTTCTGAACAATGCCTCGCGGTGTTGCTGATGCAGTACGCCTTCCTCGCCTTTAAGAACTGCTGCATATTGGCTATGCAAATTCTTCAGATCATTTAAAAAGCTAATGTCATGTCTTCAACGCGGCAAGTTACGTAAATTTTTGGCTTCTTGGTACATGCATTATTAAGGCCTGCTGCACATACAAACACTACAATTAATGCAATTAACAAACCGAACAGAATTCCAAACAGAAGTCATATTTGGTGATTAAGAATACAACCATGTGCTTGCTCAATGCGCGTTGGCTTTTCCACTGACGAAACATTCATACCAACATCTTTAAAAATGAGCAAGTAAGAAAATGGCCCAGAATTGTTTTTATACTAGCTATTTTCCAATTTTGGCCGTTATCGTACGCAGTCTGCGGTGAGAGCGTAGAAGCCAGCATCGAGCCACCCTCGTTCGATTAGTGGAAGGCCTCTAGAAGACATCAGCCCGGCATAACACCACCCGCCAACGATTGGACAAAGCTAAGAATATCTCATAAGTAAACGGTTGTGCTTTTAACTTCTTTCACGTCTAGAGCTACGAAACCTTCAACGTAGCCTACTATAAACAAGTACAATACCACGGTCATGTCTTACTTTGACCTGGCTGTCATTAAGGAGAGTTTTAAGTCTTCCGTTCGTCCGCCAACTCACTTGGACAGCAAATTAGTCTACGTAGTACTTGTGTCCCATGCTGTCTTCGCAAAGCTGCCTAATTTGCCGGCTACATAGGTACTAGAATGAAAATCAATGTGGCTGCTTTCCGCCCAGCTTTCTATCTGTCGGATGTAAATATTGGAACACGTCATTGTTTTAAGAGAACTGATATGTAAGGAATATCTACTGTAGGGTGGGACGGGGGGGGGGGGTTGTACTTTGTTGTAAATCAGTCAAGTAAACATTGTCGCAGTGCAACGCGAACAAAGAATGGCAGCTACTTACAGCAGCGAAACGAGCGTGCTCAGGATAATCTAGTCAAGTCAAGTCAAGATCCTTGACGATGTGGCGCATACCCACGCTGGGCGATTGGCCAAGAACCGGATAGATTTCATGAATTTCTAGTTTAATAACAGATTAAAATTAATCCATTTACGAGTCATAAGAGAAAGATGCAACAAGACAAATTTGATGGTTGAATTGTAAATAATCTGTAGTGTAATGCAATGAAGCGTCGTATTTGATTTAATATGAATTCGGAAATTTCAAAATCTACCGAACAATGATTTCAACACTTAAACCTCTTTGAACTTTTGACGAACTCCTGCAATGCGTCAACCATCTTCCCGTCGCTGTGGCCTTGACACAAATCCCCGAAAGAAAGCACATTTTCAGCATTTAAATCTATTCCGAGAAGGTGGCAAACGGCTCCGAAAGTGTTTTTACGTAAGACAGATAATCTATTACAATAAATGAGATGGTGTTCAGTTGACTCATTTACTCCACAAACAGGACAATGAGGGGAGGCTGCCAGACCAGCTCTGTGTAAATATAAATTCAGCTGTGGAATTTGACAGTGCAGTCTAGTGATTGCGACTTCCGTTCCTCGCGTTTGACATATTTTACTATTCCAATGGTATAACAAGTGGTTGAATTCTAGTGTGGCTGTTAGTGAAGGTGTAAAAAATTCCTCTAACAGTAGTTTTCTTTTTAATTTAGCGCCTATCAAGAATTTCGATGCCGGTAATACATTAATAACCGGCCCATTTAAAAATGACTTGGCCAACTCATCTGCCATTACATTCATATAAATGCCATTATGTCCAGGAACCCAGAGCAGTTTGATCAGATTGAGATGCGAGAGAACTAATGCTTTGAAAGCGTTCTGAGCATGCGAGTTCTCATCTGCAGTAAGAGAGGCACATACTGATAGGGAATCTGTTAAAATTATTGCGGTTCTTACTGAAGCAGTTATTTTACGGAGAGCTAAAATTATCTGCTTCAAATATGGGCACATAATCGGGAAAGCGAAGCGAAAAAGACCAGTCTAGGGCAAGAGAAAAATACCAATTCCACATTTTTCTTCCCTTTGTGACGCATCAGTTGCTATGACTGCTTCTATTTGCGTATGTTCCAGGTAATCTCTTAATATAGCTTCTAAAAAACTGAACGGCATCAATTTTGAATTTTTCGGAAATATATCATCAAACTGTAATTTAATAGCACTGTTATTGGTACTGGTTAAGGGAACAGCATCAATTTGAACATCTAAATTATCTAGAAAGCGCTGTATAACCAAAATTTGTGGTATACGAGATCTCGGCCAGTATTGTCCAAAAAACAAGTCAGGACGGTCAATAAAAACTTTTTCTAAGCGTCTTACCGGCGATTCATAGAGCCTAAAAAATGCCTGTGTAGCTAACAATTTAAAACGGGTCGCAAGTGAGGGAACCCTTGCTTCAAGATACAAGATATTGATTGAAACAAACTTGGGGAGACCTAAGCATAGTCTCAAGGCTTGTCTCTCTGTGACTAGCAGAGGATGTATCTTGTAGGCAAGTGCCCCCGCGTATAACACACACCCA